GAAGAACAAGGTTAGGCTGGGCGACCGTCTGCTGTCCTGGCGACGGGGTGAACGGAGGTTACTACCCTTGCAGACGCGGGCGCACTCCGAGGCCATTTTTCACGGTCGTCTCTCACGCTCTCTCCATTATTGGTAACGCGCGAACACCTTTTTTTTTTGGTACCGCCGGAAATGCGTCGGCGACGCGTCCCTCAGAGGTGAGGGACAAAAGATACTCTGTTAACACTCTCACTCTTATTCAAAGTCCATCTTATCTAAAGTGGTCTCCGCATCTTATCGTCAGACACTTTTGTTCACGATATTGTATTGTAAAAATACAAGCAGCGTTTACTTCGTTTTTTTTTCTAAAATCGATGGAAGATACATTTACTATTTTGCACTAAATAGAATTTATGGAATATTCTGATTTCTAAATTTGTCGCCAGAAATAACTTGCGTTGTCGCCAGGAGAAATATAATCTGAAACTCTTAGCTCAATTGAAGTAAAAGAAACATTTTTTTATATGCATAAAAGTCAGAGTAAAACGTTAAAATGATTTCACTCTTTGTATTAGAACGATAATACTGGGACGGGCAAGGAGAGTGACTTAACTTGTCAATCGTATTCGAATGCACGGATATTAAAATTGCGTGTTGAAATTTATTATAAAAAAAACTTGTTTAGATCGATACTGATTGAAATATCGATTGACAATTGTTGATTGCCATTCGATGATTAATTCTCGGCGCATAAATGCGGTGCCTCTATTCAAGCGGAAAGTTTCAAGTTTCCACGCGGACGGCGAACACCTTGCTCGCCAATACGGAAGAGGGTATCAGCAAACGCTAAGAGAGAAATACGGCATATTGCCATCGTTTGATAATTATTCCGGTATCGAGTGTTACGCTTTTATCTACTTCCTCCGCGATATTTCGTCTTTGCCGATATTCCGCCGCAGAAGCCGCGTGAGGGCCGTTCCTCCAGTTCGCGTCGGCGAGGGCAACGTTCGATAATGCACTCAATCAATATCAAATCTCGCTCTTTTGGCACGGGTCCCGGCAATGGACGCATTGTTGCAGCATTGCGATGAAAGCAATAACGATTCGCGATAAGTCTGACAGTTATATTAGATTCATATTGAAAGTTTTCTTTTTGACAGTCTTGCCAGCCGATATCTTTCTCTTATCTCTTAGCTATCTCTTCTCCGAGACTCCCGAGAAAATTCGTCGAGTATCTTCGTTCTGATTATTTCGCCTTTGATATTTATTTCATGAAAGACGCTCCGATAATTGCACACAAATTCGTTCGCAATAAAAAGTACAGTTTGACAGTGTTGCTCCTAAAATACGTGATTATTCGGTACGATATTTCAAGATCGTATCTTTGATAATAAACGCAAGCGCATAGAGCGTAAACAAAGTCATCCTCCCGATTTAACGAAACGAAATTTCGATTAATGCGTTATCGGTACTGCGCTTTCCATTACTTCGCGTCTGACATTGTGAGGTGTATTCGCAAATGTCCAAGTTCGGAAAAGAACGAAAACAACTCAGATTAAAGCATATTGTCTTATAATTCTTTAATCAGCAGAGCACAGTTCAGTGTGCGTTATTATATAATAATCAAGAACGCATTCCTGTTAATTTTATATTTACTTGGAAATTCAGAATTAGCTACTCTCTAAAAGTCTATCGGTGAATTATCACTGAAAATAGTGAATAGTCACTGATTTGCAGTTACAAGTATACCACTGAAAATCGCAGTAGTATACGTTCTTTGTCTCTTTCTAAAGTAACAGCTGGAAAGAGAAGACAAAGAACGAAGTAAACTAAGTTTAAAGTGACGTTGGTGAAACCAGGCCTAAGTGACCATTGACTGTTTTCAAGTGATAATTCACTGATTGACTTTTAGAGAGTACATCTCGACAAATTCGTCTGACACATTTTCAAAGAAACTCGCGTGAACAAATTTGCGAAAAATATCAAATCGGAATTACAAGTAGAATTGAAACCGTGGTTGAAACAATCGTGTCGCGATCGCTTTTCGATTCTGTCGCGGTGCTTGGTGAAAATTCTGGTCCATGGCTCCTTTTCTGGACTCGCGGCGGGACGAAAATTGGTCTTTGGACCGATTCGGAGCGAGAGCCGTGTGCGCACCCCTGGCTGGATGCACGTCGATGCCAGGCCGCGGGGAAACCGGTGTTGTGTGTATGTCACCGAAAGAGACGGGCGGTGGGGGCCGGCCGGCCGGTGGTTCTTGATGGTGGGGGGCCGCAGCCAGGGTTTCCGACCGCGTCGGCGGCGCTTAAGCCTCCGACGCGGGGGCATTGCCGTCGTGGCCGCGGTACGATCCGATCCGGCTGCTGTCTCGCAGTGCGCGCTGCTCCTCCTGCCGCACGTGTCGACGGTCTTTCGTGCCGAGGGATACTCATTTCTTTTTACCCCGCCCTGTCCTGCGCGAGAGGCAACCGCGTGGCGACATCAGCCGCTGACTCTCCCCGCGATCTTCGCGATCCTCCTCAGTGTGCTACGAGTGCGATGATGATGATGATTTTGGACCTATGAGAGATGGTGCGCGCGTGTGATCTGAGGAGACGCTTCTCTCGTCGTTCGCAACCGTCGCGAGTACGCGCCGACGAATGAGGGGTGGTTCCCGAGAGGGAAATCTCGAGGGGTTACATCGTGATGACACGCGATCGCGCGTGAGAGGTCGATGTAGCGTGCGAGACGAACATTGGTTTTTTTTTCTCCTGGAACTGAACATTCCCTTTTTAAAATTTAAGCTGCACGTAAGTCGCCCGAGGATTTTAATATGCGTATCGAGGGTACAGCGAGCGCGTGGTAGTGCGTCGGTGTTTTCGGAGCACGGTGGTTCATTCACGACGGATAGTGAATGAAGGGCGATTGGCTCTTCGTGTCAGCCAAGGCAAAACAGTTTTGTCGTAGGTCAGTCCGCTGTAATCGAGCGCTGTCCCTCCGTTTCATCGCTTGACGCGTGACCTTCGATCGGTCGGGATGCCTCCTCGTTTCTCATCTTGCGCCGGATATTGAGCGAGGTCGAATCGGAACGCGATAACAAGATCGCGAGGACTCGACGGGGATCGTCTCATCAGCCTCTTCCGACTTTACCGGATTTTTCGGTCGGTTTGAAAAACGAACGTTGGTGGTGCCTTCCCATCCCGATTGTCCGATTGTGTCTGTTCCGGTGTCATTTCCACTGTCGTTCGGTGCTAATTATAAATCGTCTTGCGTGTGAGACTGCATTATTTATATCCGCGCGATATACACTGTTCGCGATTGGACCCCGTGACTAGCATTCTCGTGACAAGTGTCAATTGTACGTAGTGAATGAGACTCGGCTCGCCCGTAGTTTATTCCTAAGTGCTGCGAGAAATGCGAGGCTTATAAGTTCTGCCGCTTATAAGTGCCACATTGAGTACGCGGAGCTATTACTGGGATTATAAAAGCGTTACTCACATCTAGGTAAGAATCAACGCGAGTGTTTAACACTTATTATGCATGCAAAAGTAGTAAACCTACGTAAAACATAGCAAGGATACATGACGTGTATTTACACTGGATAAATAGTCGTTGAGTAAAAAAACTTGATTTATCTAAATGCTGCTATTTTTCGCTACTTTGTTAAAATCGGACGCAAAAATCAAAATAAGCCCGGAAAGTGTGACACGAGTTTTATTCCACTCTTTCGATCATGCTCTTGTTAGTGTTTTATACGGGTTTAATGCGATACAATATATTTTATAATTGGAATGGTGATTAATAAAATATCTATATTAAGATATAAGGGTATTGTATTTTAATATTAGAAAGATCGAACTATTCTACGTGAGAGATAAGCCATGTACAAAACATTTCCTTGAGAAAACATATATTACACCGCGTTCATTCATTTGTAACATGAACATGAACATTCATTTGTACGAGGTATCTCATACCACTGCTCTCACCTAACGAGAATTAATAATATGATGGAATAAGCTGTTAAATCTGACCCAGACAATATCATCAAATTATTAAAATTTATTGACTCGGCTGCACCGACAGTTCCAGTTAAATAAGTGTAGCTCATTAATTTACCTTCGAGATTAAAATGTCACTGATAACGTATATAAAAAGAAAATATAATTATGCAAAATAGTCTAAACGGTGCTGACGCAACCGTTAATCCGAGTCAATTTAAATAAATAAATACTGAACGCAGTGCACACACACACACACACACGCACCCACCTACATTCGAGTGGCGAAAATTTCTCTTTGCAGTTTTAGCCTTACATTACCTTATTCACTTAACCGAACTTAATCATTTTGGTAAATATTTGTTAAACGAACGCATCTTTTAAAGAGCCACCCTTGATGAGCGCCACTTATTTCCATCGCAAAGTGCGTGCTTGTGATCGGTCGCGCGAGAAAGTCGATCGTCGTTCTTGCAGCTCCAGCACACGATCCGCAAAGAGTATATACCTCCTGCGGCATCTCGCCAACCTCTTTCAACACGGTTAAATATTAGCGGGAAAGACCGGTGCGCTACGATAAATTCTAGCCACACGACACGCCAGCGCGCGCCGGCTCGTAAATCGGCCCCGCGCGACATGTATACTTCCAGGCGTCATTAATTAAAAGCCACGCTCGTTGCCTAGCACCCTCTTGTCCCTTCCTCGAAGATCGGCAGTTCCGTGGCGTCCTCGTGAGATATTTTATAAACGTAGATGTGCTGAATGTATTCGCGTAGCACAAGCTGCTTCGCGGTCATGTAATGTTTCCAGAAGTGAGAAACTGAGAGTGGGAATCCTTTTCACGGTTCTGATTATGCAATGTTTACCGAATCTTTCTTTCAAATTTATTGGTTTTCGAATTTCGATTTTCACATCTATTTTCAGATTATTAATATTATTATTAGCACTAATTATATCACACAGATTTTCTTCAATTGTTATTTCTTTGATTAAATAGTAAAAAAAAATGTCTAACAAAGGACATGTTTTTCTACATACTATTATATTTAATCACTTTGACAATAAACGTAGGTTTTCAGTGTCACTTTGTTAATTCCTCAATTAACTAAACTAATAACTCGATTATATTTCACGTAGATCAACGCAGTGTAGTTTAGTCAGTAGTGTATAATAAATGAAAACTTAATAATATATTTGTAAGCATTTCCACGAAGAGTTACGCAAAGCTAAATTAGTAAATGTTTGGCTAATATTATATTACTCAACGTATGCTAAATCTTATATCAGTTATTAGGCGCAATCTTTGTTACGAAATAAGAAATCTAAATCTTACGTTTAGTAGGAGCAAGAATCGGATAATTGTATAAGAGTAGGAAGAAGAGGACTCCCAATCTCCCCCATTATGCCGTTGCGATCACGCGAAAACGAGTTTGACAGGTCGGTTGGTCCAATCAGCATAATCTCGCTTATCTTGTTTGGCCTGATCGGGTGAGAACGGTTCGGAACAACGCGAAAAAAAATACGCGCCACGCGTTATGAATGGTCGAGTTATTTGAATTGTCCAATGTAATCTTTGATTACGCACACAGTAAACTAAGAAGAATTGTATGGAATAGGAACTGCCGGAATTTCGGGCAAGGAGACAAATATAACGCGATGCATACAATGAAATCATTTATTATTTTATACAAATAAAGTATACAAGATTATGTGACCGGATAGTCCATAATATTTTTGAGGCGACAGATGATTTTGAAAAGGCCATTTGCGTTTGTGGTGATGGAAAAGAAATCACTTTTGACCGTAACATTGATGTTGTATCTAATCTATGAGGGAACCTTGATACCCCAGAGAATCTCCAGCAAGTTCTTGATGACCATGAGATCAATGCCGGCATTCTTAGCGTGTGTCAAGAGCTCCTGGAATTTGGGGTGGGCGTAAACCTTGTTGACGATCTGTTGGAAGTTGTCGGACTCCAGTTGCTTGATGAAGTCGGCGAATGCCTTGGAGGTCTCCAACTTCTTTTTGTACAAATCCTGAAGCTGCTGTTTCGGCAAGATGGCTAAGATATCCTGCACGTATCCCTTAAGTCCACCGGTGATTTGTACGCCGATGGCATAAGAGGGTGGGGTTAGAGGTGGCAGACCGAGAGCAGAGTTGAACATGTTCACCATCTTGTAAATGTCAATGCCGGCATTGTGGATGTAATCCATCAGAACTTTAATCTCGGGTAGAGCTTCTACATCTTTGACCAGCTGCTTAAATCCTTCAGATTGGAGGTATTTGATCATGTTCTGGAACTCCGTATCTTGAGTATAGTATTGAACAGTGATTTCGAGGATCTTTTCGACAGGCATGAGGTCCAAAAACTCTTGGATGTCCTTGTGGAGCTCACCTCTGCCAAAATTCGGGATCTCGATTTTGGCGGAGGCCGCAGCCACGAAGGCCAATAATACCAATGCGAATTTCATCTGCGAACATAAATTGCTTTTAGATTATTGGCTTATTTGAGAATTACATTTTATAAATAGGCCATTTGAAAAGTTTTCGAAATAAGTACGAATGGCAACTCGCACAACACACGTTCAACGGAAAGTTTTAACCTTTTATTTCTCAAATGGCTCTCGTATTTATATATATTTTATACCATTACACACAATGCTTAAAATGACATTTGTGCATCGAGAAATTGGTTAACATTTATCATTTCGGCTTTGTGTAATTTGCCAAAGAAAAAAAGATGACAAATATTACTCAATTATTATACATCATTAACTAAACTATACCATGACATATTTACTTTAAATACACACGAATTATTAGTTTAGTTAACTAAATCAAAATTCCGAAAATCCAAATTCGACGGTATCTAACAAGTGAATAAATACGGTAATTAAAAATAAATATAATACATTATAATTATTTTTAAAAAATTTATTTATGCCTTTGGCTGAGAAGTTTTATTTATTGTGAAAACAAGCAGAAAGTAAGTGATCTGTTGTATTGCATAGTTTTTCGTTTGTAATTTAATACTTAAATTCAAAGTACTTAACTCGGTTTAATTCTCAGATTTAATACTAAGGCCAGTATTCATGGTCAGATCTTATATTCAAGACTGTCTCGAGATCATCTTTAGATACTCCGTAGCCAATGAAATGTTCCGTACAGCTTTAGATAGTAAATTCAAGACGGTCTTAAATATAAGATCTCACTATAAATACTGGCCCAAGTGTTTCATTTATAAACTCGATACTCACCTTCGACGTATTGTTGGGGATACTTCTAACCTGTGATCTCACAGACTGATGCTTCTCAATTCTTGTTACTGTCTTATATACGAAATCAGATCTTATTTTTTCAATCTACGATGATAAGATTATGTTATCAACAAGTGTTCCATTTTAAGAGAAAACATTTAACAATAAGATTATTTTAAAGATTATTTTATGCAATGAGATTTCAGATTATATGCTCTTGTCTTTATAACACATTTTTTAGTTTCATAACGATTATCAATCATTGCAAGTGCAATATAATTACTATAAGAGCACTTAGTAAATGTTTAAGATAATCGCAATTAATGTGTACGTATCCAATTGATTATATTGATAAATCCACTTGATAAATATCGTAACAAGATGTGCAGTATTTTTTAATATTATTTTAGTTTTGTTAATATATTTTCAGAGAAGATTTCACTTAAAATCTTTTGCTTTTAAATGAAAAGAAACCATTTCTAGGCTAAAAAGAAACGTATGATATCAGAGAGATTTAATACATAAAATACATACAAGAGATACATGAAAGTGATATAATTGCTATTAATCTAGAGGTAACAATGAAGTCTTTAAATTTTAATATTTTTGTAATATTTTCTCCAATTAAGAATGTATTGAAATATGAATTTCTTTGTAGTATGAAGTTAATTTTATTACATAATATGTCTTATATTTTACGTAAAGATTGAAAATTTTGATAAAAGCAATTTATATAATACTTATCTTATTCCAAATAGATTGATAACGTGCACGTGTATTATCGATCAAAATTAAACATTGACCCGTGTTAATACGAACGCAATAAAATTTTCCATTAAATCTGATATTACTGTTAGGTCTGCGATAAGTTTTGTAGGAAAACAGGATACCTCGTCTAAAGAAATGTTTATATATAATATTTTAGCGTAGCTTATGTATTCTTGAAATACCTTCTTGCGCTTTCGCCACCTCACCATCGTATCTTTTCATTGCGGGCGCCCTAAGCGATGTTTTTCAGTTCTTTTTATCCTCCCGTATATTACCTTGCGTTACATTCGTCACGAACTATCATTATCGCATCACTAGCGTTTCTGTAGCGTGTTTTACACTCATCCATTCGCATACCATTAATCGATTAAAATCTGCTTAAGACCTATCGTTATTCTTTTTCCATTCGTTCGTTCCGTTACATTATCCGCGACCGGACTCACGGAAACGAAGCCTATCATTCTTTGAATATAACGAGATTTACCTTCATAAATCTTTGGACCTCCCTTTCTTTTATTTTCTCAACGATTAATTCGCCGCTGAGAAAAAGACTTGGCTTAAATTGAATCGTTCCCATTTATCGATCGCGAGAATAAAATTAGCGTTTCTGAAAGAAAATTTATAGAATTTACGCAAGCGAGCCAATAATTCGCAACCGTGAGAAAATGCCTCTCATGCGTCATCGCGATGAGGAAATGATCTTGCCTATTCCTTAATCGTGCCTTGATCATGTTCGATCTCACGCCTCGTCGATCGCCGATTTTAGATGCTTTAGTTCCGCTTTCGTTATCGCTGCCGGGCGCGAACACGTGTTTCGCCAAATGGAATAACGTTGTTTCTGTCGTAATAGATATTCTTCGACTATTAGGCCAGAATTGATGAGTATGTTTCGGTTATAAAGAAACAATCGCACGCAATAAATAATATGCTACATTACAGCGGGCTAGGTCAGTCATTCTTGACTTATTTCTATATCGAAGAGAAAATAGTTGATACTTTGGTCACTGCATGCAATTAATATGCATGCAAACAACAGAAGAAATTATGGTAATTATTTAGATTAACACACCCACCTCCAATAACCTTGGGCTTGACATATATTATAGAGGTCACCCTCCTGAGTAACCCTCAGAAGGATTTAGCCGGCGCTCGTTGTTTATTAAAAAGTTATTAAAAAAACAATGTCAACCAATTATATGTCATTTTTAGACACAAATATTAAAAATTTTGAAAAATGTTTT